GAGGAGAGAGAGAGAGAGAGAGACGAGGAGAGAGACGAGAGATGAGGAGAGGTAAGAGAGGATGGCGACGACGGACTCGCGCACAGACTATGGCATCTACGCAAGTACGACACAGCCGCCACTGCAGCGCAACGATCACGGTACGGCTATAATGATGTGTCGGCTGGCTGCTATACCACGCGGAAGGTGAAACAGGAGGACATGCTGTGATATCCTGGGTGGTGCGTAGTGGTGAGGAGTCCCACTGGGTTCTCTAAATGGGTTGACAACGCCTGCACGCGCTTGCGTGCCAGGTGCCCGCCGCTGCGAATTAATGAGGGGGCCCGGATAATGAACGAATAGCGTTTAATAGAGATAGCGAAAAGCGGAAACCAAGATGCAATTGAGAGCTTGGCGGACAACGGTTAGATTGGGAGGCCGTCAGTAAGTAAGAAGGTTTTATGAGCGGATGGAGAGGTATATGGAAGACGACAGTGAGGGGGGTCCGGCTTGGATGTTGGTGAGAAAACGCCACCAGAGACCGCTGGCTAGTTATTAGCAGGCCATGGTAATATGATTTAAAATTTGTTTTAGCGTTCTTTAGAGACGGAAGCAGTGTTGATATTAGTAATGAAGGCACATGGCAACAGCTCGTGGATTGGCGAAAAGGGCGTTGCGCTGAAAATAAAAAGCGGTACGGGACGGAGAAGTACTGGGCCTCGTGTCCGAGGGAAGCGTCGATGGAATGAGCACAAAGACATGAGTAAGCATGGAATCGCGAAAAGAAATGCAACGAGTAAATTCATAGTGAATCGGCCAGGCCGTGAGGCGGCAAATCGGCTATGCAGGAACGAGGTAAGCGGGGTTTAATTTACCGGTCCTATATATATATATATATATATATATATAATAGCGCGCGACTAAGGAAAATTCAAAGTTGTGAAGGAGACCAAGAACATTGATTTTGTTGAATGAGTTCTAGCAAATAATGGCGCTTGGAGTTTTTTTGGACCGATTTTCATACAACAGCACGTTTCTCTCGTTTTATGCATCTCTGGTTCCATAAATTTAGTGCTCCTCTCTACTACGCGTCTGTATTGACGTATACAGCAGATGTTCGAGCAAGCATCGCTCTGCCTAGCAGCCAGGTATGCTGTGCAGGCGATAACCAAGTATACGCTATCAATTTTTAACCAACTATTAACAATATTAGCTGTAGACGCGCGCTCGGTGACTCAGCAGCGATGGGACGGGTGTCATGGCCGCCACGCGCGCGCGCGTCTATGTGCGTCTGCCGGCCTATTTCCGGATCATCAATTCTAATATGTTTAGCGCTTCCTATAGGAATGCATTTGCCTGCTTCGTTACATGTATCGGCGGCAAGGTCTTAGCGTATCACGAATAGTTAGGGTTATGGTTATGGTTTGGGTTTGGTAGAAGTTAGTGTTGGAGGTGGGCTTAGTGTTGGGGTTGGGGTGGGGTTAAGGTAGAGGTTAGGGTTAGGGTTAGGGTCAGGTTTATGGGTTAGGGTTAGGGTTGGGGTTGGGCCTAGTGATGGGGTTGGGGTGAGGTTAGGGTAGAGGTTAGAGTTAGAGTTAGAGATCTGTTCAGGGCTAGAGTTAGGGTTAGAATTAGGCTAGGGTTAGGGTTTGGGTTAGGGTAGAGCTTAACATTACTGTTAATCTTAGGATTAAAGTTAGGGTTAGGCTTAGGGTTAGGGTTAGAGTTAACGTTACTGTTAATGTTATAATTACTGTTGAGGTTAAGGCTAAGGTTGGGGTAGGGTTAGGGTTAGGGTTAGAGTTAGGGCTAGGGTTAAACTTAGGATTAAGGTTACGGTTAAGGTTAGATCGGCGTAGTCATGACGTACGTTCATTGCTAACATTATTGCTCGATTCGACGGAGTGGTAGGTTCGTCGAACCCACATGAAGGTAGTGGTAGTAGGTCTACCTCCAAGGGCGGATCTAGCTTTCAAGAGAGGGGTGGTTGATATTTGGGTGAAGGCGTGACGAAGGCACGCGGTGCTAGGGTGGTTTTAGTGCTCCCCCAATGTGACAGTGTTTAGGATCTGACAGTTCAGGCAGCTGTGTGGTCCCACGAAAAATTTCCAGTTTCTATCAGCCCGCAGACGTGACTTTTTTTATTTTTGGCCCCATTTTACTAGTATCATAACATTAGTCAGTGGCTGAACGGGGTGGGCGGCTGTAACATCCCCAACCCTCTCTAGATTCGCCATTGATCTCCGGTAAAGACAGTCCAAGCACCCGCTACACACATGCCTGTGGCAGATATGCGCGTTAGTTTGTAGACACTGTAGGGATGCTGTGGGATGTGTTTTCTTACTTGTCATTCGCAACACCGACCTGTCTGAATGACATTAGGAAGCGGTATTGCAGAGCGCTTATCTTAACTGTCGTTGCTACTGAAATTCTAGCGATTTCAGCAAATAGACAGGAGATAGTGACAGATGGAGACGAGAGAGGAAAAGAGAGAAAGAGAGAGAGAGAGAGAGAGAGAGAGAGAGAGAGAGAGAGAGAGAGACGGGGCGTGTGCGTGCGGTTGTGTGCGAGAGAGATAGCGAGAAGCAGAGAGAAAGAAAGAAAGAAGGGTCGACGAAGAAAACGGATGAACAGATGGACGAATAGCGCGGCAGACAAACACAACCCCCAAATATAAATGAAAATACCAAGTGGCACTGACAAACACAATCAATGGGCATAAACGGCGTTTTTAAAGACTATAACTTTATTTGATTTACTAAAATTGCTTAGAACACCCTACCTTGATGTAATGCAGATTGCATTTAACATGACATATAATATTTTTATACATCATATATAATCATATATAATATAATACAAACATATGAATATTTTCACTGTTGCGAGTTAGACAGTGAATTGAAATTGGCTGGCATAGTATTGGCACATTCTCGTGATTGCTATCGCATCGCGTTGAATGAATTCATTTCGAGAGCTATAACATTGAGAACTAGAGCACTCAGAGAGCGCAGACCTCCGCCAAGGCAGCTGAATTCTCTGACTGTAAAAAATTTAATTAATTAATTAATTAAATAATTAATTGGATCCGGATCACCACCAAAATTTATATGTTAACATGTACCATTATCCTTACCATTGAGCCTGTACACATGTACCATTATCCTTACCATCATAAATTATTTCGAGTCTTCTCGGGAAGTTATTATTATCAGAGCTCATATTATTAGGTATTATTAGCTCTTGTTATTATTCCTTTCTGTAGCTCATACCAGACAGAGGTCACCACTCTTCTTTGTCTGCCAACAGCGCTATATAGCTATAGCGAATAGCACTGAATGGCACTGAGGGTGGTCACAGCCAGAGTTTGTTTTTGCGCCCTCAGTGGTTCTTTTACGTCCCCATTGGCCTTTCGTATTACTGGAGACGGGACCGGCATTTTACGTGGTCATCCGAGCCACGGGCGATTCACAGTCTCCAATGTTGAGAGCCAGGTTTTTACGCCTTGAGAAAATTCACTGCTCCGGCCGGGGTTTGAACTCACAGCCTTCAGTGGACAGTATACGTGGTCACGAAGGCATCTACCATCATCACATTTAGTACAATTAGTCGTTATATGTGCTGTCATGTGCCGGTATGCGCAAACAGATTGATTGCGCGTGACCATGTGAGTTTATTGTGCGGGTTTTTTGCATGCCATGATATCGAGGATTCTACCGGTGCCTATTGTGATGCTGTAACCGCGCGAGTATCAGCGTGAAATTAAGCAGATATGCTCCTACGTCTGTCCTCTATAGATACGAGTTGCATATAATATGTAGTCCTAGCACGCACCGCCGCTGACATCTCTTTATCTCTTTGCTTACATGAGCACGACGAATTTTTCTCGTTGCACCACGCTCTTCCGATATAATATTTGTGTTGTTATTGTTTTCTTCCGCAGACGATCGACGTGAGACGTGGTTGATAATTACACGCGTCTCCGGTGTGACGTCACGATGCCGCTCGGACAGGTGTTCTACTGTCTCCTCACTATCCTGATTAGCTCACAGGTAAAATATCACTGACTCTAACATAGGTAACGTATTACTGATTCTAACACTGGTAACGTATTACTGACTTTAACATAGGTAATGTATTACTGATTAGAAATGATAGGTGTAGAACAGTATTTACGCGACACTGGTGTAGCATAATAGCACTGATCAGAACACGTGTAACATGGTCCTAAAACTTATTGAGAGCCAAAAAAGATGATATATATATATATAGAGAGAGAGAGAGAGAGAGAGAGAGAGAGAGAGAGAGAGATCGCGACCACGACTGCGCACACTCATGCATGTACGCAAGTACGCACACAGGCAGCCACGCACGCACCCACGTACGCTATAATGATGTGTCCTGCTGCTATACCACGGGGAGGTAACAGGAGGACTGCTGTAATCCTGGGTGGTCGTAGTGGTGAGGAGTCCACTGGGTTCTCTAAATGGGTTGACACGCTGCCACGCGCTTGCGTGCCAGGTGCCCGCCGCTGGATTATGAGGGGCGGATAATGACGAAAGCGTTTAATACGAGATGCGAAGCGGAAACAAGATGCAATTGAGAGCTTGGCGGACAACGGTTAGATTCGGAGGCGTATAAGTAAGAAGGTTTATGCGGATGGAAGGTATAGGAAGACGACAGTGAGGGGGCCGGCATGGATGTGGTGAGAAAACGCCCACCAGAGACCGGCTGGCAGTTATACAGGCCATGGTATATGATATTAAATGGTTTTTAGCGTTCTTGGAGACGGAAGAGTGTTGATATTAGTATGGGAAGGCACATCAACGCTCGTGGATTGGCGGAAAAGCGTTGCGATGAAATACAAGCGGTACGGGAACGAGAAGTACTGTCGAGGGAGAGTGAGTGCGAATGCAAAGAATGAGTAATCATGAATCGCGAGAAAACTCGCAAACAGTAAATTCCATAGCTGATGCAGGGCACGGTGAGGCCATCGGCAGCACGACGAGGTACCAGCGGGGTTATAATTTACGCTGCAAGCAAGCGCGACTGTCACACGCATAGAACAATCCGCGTCGTGTGCGCGCTGGCTCATATATAACTAATGAATGATTTCGGCAGCGATAAACTCTATATCGTAGCATTCACAGACCCGGATGCAATTTTGCGATTTCGTGCGATTTCGGCGTGCGCGCCGCCGCTTGCTTTGGCGCTATCACCAAAGCGCTGTGGGACAAAGACATGTGGTACGTCAATTCCCCTTCTCCTGCCTTTCTCTCCTGTCTTACTTTCCCGACCTCGCCGATTTTCTTCTATGCGATTGCCTGCCCGCGCCAAGCTATACCTCCTCTACTACCGTCCTTCTTCTCCCATTTTTCCCCGCGTTTCTTCCCTGCCGCATTCATACCCCTTACTCGTCCGTTTCCTGCCCTTTCCGCATTCATTTCTCTTGTCTCCTTCCTTCGACCCTGTTTCCCTTCCTCTGCACGCATGCCTACATTCTCCACCACCGACCTTCTTTTCCCACTTCCCCGCGGTTCTTCTCAGCCCCCATTCTCACCCTCCCTCGCTGTTCCTCTGACTTTCCCGCCTTCTTTCCCCCTCTTAGCGACTTCCATTCCCCTCCTCCCTCGTCTTTTCTCTTACACATTTACCCTCTCTCCTTGATGCTCCCAGTCTCGCCTCAGCCTCTCGTCTGTTGATCATCTTTCGCCGCCTAATTTATTTGGTTAAGATGAACCAAAAAGAAGCGACCGCATTCCGCGATGCCGCGTCCCCCTAGTGCATCGCTGCAAAAATACGCAATCTACACGCGCCGATGTCGGCATCTCTCTCTCTCTCTCTCTCTCTCTCTCTCTCTCTCTCTCTCTCTCTCTCTCTCTCTC